AACTATAATCACAGACCTTAAGGAGCTCAGAGGAAATGGGTCTACAAGGAGCCAACATATACCCTCACAGCAGGAGGCTGAGTGACCGCTAAATGACGTTAACCAGATGTCGCTGTCAGGACATCTTAGACAGGAGAGGAGACAAGAAAGCATAAGAAAGTTGGTAGAAAACTCAACTTTTCAGCTAATGAAGTGCAGCAGGAAGATAAACTGTTTGCTGCAGACAGAGGCGTGGGTTCGTCTGTCTGGGTCGCCCTGAGTGGGAGCTGAGCCAAAACATGTGGACCGACTGAGTCCGAGCTCTACTGCATTCATATAGACACATCCATACGCAGACATAATGTGATATAACTACTCACATCCTGCACATTTTTAGTATAAAGCTAGACTATATCCCACTGCCATGCAGGCCACACGACTTTGTGACTTCATCAGATCCGCCACTCATGCAGAAAGTTCCCCAATATTCTTCATCACGCTCAGCGTCACAGGACCATCAAGGAGAAAGAAGAGGAGATGGGCCAGAGGAGTCTTTATGGGTTTTATTTGGAAACCTGAGTCCCTGCCGGTAATTGGCCACAATGACTGTAATCATAAGTGATGGTCTGGTTTTCTACTTTGCCTGCGGAAATTTCCACAATAATGGGGCTTTGGTGAGTCTGTTAGAAGGATGTAGTTAAACACACACTTTATCCATCAGAACAGGTCCTGTTTTCCATCCTGCTGTTATTCGGTTGTGCTGCGTTCGTGTGGTTTTGATCTCTGTGTGTTTTAGGTTGTGTATCGGTTTATGTTGGTTATTTAGGACTCTTCTTTGGAAGAGACACCTACTTTCTTTAGAGCCATGGGTTTGTGGGGAACTAAGCCTGGTCCTATGAAGGTCAGCGTCAGGGTTAGAGCGTGAATGCAGTTTAGAAGTTTAGGTGCAGGAATGTAGCAGGAATAAATGTAATAAGAAGGAGTAATTAGATAATGAAAACATTGGTTTAATTGGATGTATTTAAGTGTGTGGGTTCTGGCTTTCACATTAGGTAATAAGTTAAATGAGCAGCAACAATTACCAACCGCCTGCAGGTTGTCAGAATAACAATAGGGGAAAAAAATCAGTTGGCTCACACAAAAATAGGCAACAAAACAAAAATAAAAGAAAGTAACAGGCGACTTTTACACTCCAGCTTGCTCAGCAGGTTTTAACTGAAGCCCAACCCAAAAACATGTTTTTACAGGAAAAAGTCAGATTAAAAGGTGAAGAAACCTTCAACTCATCTTTTTTATTTTGAATTTAAAGGGACGGCCCATATACAAGAACATTTACATGTAAAAGTGCCCGAATTAGCCCAAAGGCTACTTCTACATCTGTTGTCGCTGGCACCAATCAACCATCAATCAGTAGACAGAAATAAGCAAATAAACTTTAAATAGAGTTGACAATAAACTAAAGGACAATGGTAAATGGTATGTACTTATATAGCGCCGTTTTTCAAGTCAGGAGACTTGACCAAAGTGCTTTACACTACATTCATTCACCCATTCACGCACACACTGATGGTGGCAAGCTACATTGTAGCCACAGCTGCCCTGGGGCTCACTGACAGAAGCGGGGCTGCCGTACACTGGCGCCACCGGACCCTCTGACCACCATCAGTAGACAATGCAGGCGAAGTGTCTTGCAACGAAAGTCGGAGTCGGGGCTTGAACCGTCAATCCTTTATTTTCAGGGCAAACTCCTACATCCAACGGCACTGTCGCCCCAACAATATCAACACAGCACAGGGCCCTGTCACACCTTGCCAATTTAGAAAGCATATGTCTGACATCTCAGAATCTCCTAAAACGCTGGCATATCCTGAACTTTCTATGTATTTTATCAACTTTGGGCTTATACATAACGTATTAATAAAAAAATCCAGAAAAAAAAAAAATCCAGAACTCCAACGACAGCCTAACTTATGCAAGAACGAACAGCAGCGTAATGCATAAAGCGCAAGAATCATTTCATGGGAATTAAAAAGGCATCAGTTGAAGCTGCTAAGCTATGCTTCCAGGAAGCTTCCAGTCTGCATAAAACGATTTATTTTGGATTTGTATTAACCTAGCTGCTGTTTACCGCCCACCAACAAAAAAAGAATATATAAAAAGAAAAAAGAAAAACAAAGAAATAGGTTTGCAATCGCAGCAGATTCAGCATCATGACTGCTAGGAAGTTTGCCGGTGAGGGGCGTGAAAGCAGGGAGGATCCATCACACTCACCTTCTTGCTCACGCTATGATAGGAATCAAGTGTGGAGGAGAACTGACGGTGAACCCCCTTTATACCAAAACGCCGCCAATACGCCATTAAACAGTAGCTGTAAGTTAGAAACACGTTCCGTGGTCGTATGGAACGTCAAATACGTTGACATGCATTGTAAATAAGTTCTTGATAAGTTGCGAATAAATTAATCACAAGTTACTCATAGGTTTTTGGACTTACGTAAGTAACTTACACTGAACGTATGTCATCGATCAGATGCCATCATGGCTTTGTTAAGCTGCTGCCTACCTTTGTGAAGCAGGAAAAAATCTAATACAAAGTGAATCCAGTAGAACTTTTTATTGCCTACCTGGAGTGGTTGACAACAGTTGAATAAACTTATGGCTCTCAAAATGGTATTGGTGCCCCAATTGCTGGTACTCGCCGATACCGATACCACCATTTTAGGGAAGTATCGGGGCCCCGTCCAATACTGGTATTGGTATCGGTGCAACACTACTTACCTGTAACGTATGCCCAACGAATCCCATATGCTGGCATTCGTACTCACCGTATGTCGACACGTGGCAGCGTGTTCCATCAAGCTCATAACTTAAACAAAACATACCCATAACTTATCCAATGTATACCAGCATTTTTGCTAGATTTTTCGTACGTCAGGCATAGGCTGGTCTAAATAGTCAAGGTGTGACAGGGCAAACAGGATAATCTGACATTAGTGATCAAAGATCTGCTTCCCTTTGAGATGTCATCTACAACTGGTGTAAAGTAGTAGTTGTAGTAGTAGTAGTAGTAGAGTCTCTTGTAGCAGCTGTTCTTACAAATTTCTGTCACTTGTCTGATAACACCTGCTGACTGAATGTTCTGCATCTGTGAGGTATTACAGTCTCCTCTAGTAGATGCTCTTGTTCCCTGTCCACTAATGCTGGATTTTAGCTTAATAAACTCTCCTAGAGGTGGTGGAGTGAATCCATCTAAAATATTGAACAGGCAATTTTAAGATTTTTTAAATGCTCAAAACTAAGAATACCATATTTTTGGAGCGTGGGACAATGATGAAAGGACAGAGGTTTTCTATCTACCTTAAAAGCCTTTTTTGAAGAGCAATTTTATTGTTTTTTAAAGTTGTCCAGTTCGTCAAGGACCAGTTAGTAATACTGCATTCAAAATGCAAAAAAAAAAAAAAAAAAAAAAAACATGCAATGAAGACTTTTTAGCTGCATTTTCTGGCAGTTCTGACCCGATTTGTCTGAAATGTTCAATATTAAAAACAGGGTTCCTACAGCATGAGGCAATTTAAATTCAAGATTTTTTAAGACTTTTTAATGCGACAACTTAACCCAAAAGTTTATTTTAACATAAACCACTGCACTAATGTTTCAAATTTTAAGGAAGAAAGCTAAAAACACATAAATAACAGATATATTTTAACAAATATTTAATTGAATTCACAAACTTTGTTTTAGCAGGGAACAAAACAAATCAGTTTTAGAGCCACAACATAACCAGCGCCAAGTCTTTTTTGCAGCTATTTTTCTTTGTATGGTTTTCTTAGTATGTTTGATTTGGTGATAAGTGGTGGCGTTGCAGAGACAAGGCTGGAACTAAACTGAGAAATACCGGCTGTTTCTCAGTAACTTGATTTTGACGCTTTGTGTTTTGCGCTTTGCATGTGTGTCTCCACTGCCTTAATTCCCATCGTTCTGAGCTTGAATCGCTTCTTGCACAAAATACACTGAGCCTAATGTATGTTCCCTGGTATTGGTACTGATGATGTTTTAAAAAAATAAGACCTACGAAAGACTAATTTAAGACATTATAATACCAATTAAGGCCTTACTTTTATTTTGAAGAATTCAATGCCTTTTAAGACTTTTTAAGGACCCGCGGGAACCCTGTAAAAATGAAAAATTCTTGATATATATTGTTTTTACATATTTTTAAAAGATAGAGTAAATTCCAAAGTAACTCCAAGATATTTAGGTGTATTTATAAACTGGAGCTTCTCAGATATTTTACATGCAGACTTTTATTTTGGGGGGTTTAGTAAAAGACATGATTTGACATGAAGTCTCAGCTCCGCCCTTAAACACATTTGGATGTGGCTTTGTTAAATATTAGGAATATCTTGTTCTGATATTGATATTAATCAAAGAATACATTTAGGAAAACATCAGCCTGCATCTAAAATCACCAAAAAAGCAAACTAGAAACCCTCTGGTTCTTTTTAAGTGTCCACTAGTTAATAATAAAGGGTTGTGTTGTTCTTATACCTATTGTTGTTGACTATTTTTCAAACCGTTTTAATACTCCACACCACAAAATGAGAAATAAAGGTATGAATGATTCATGCTCATATTGTATCAATTATTGTTCAATACTGAACGCTGTAATATCATTATTGTACCGGAAATTAAAAAGCTGTATGAGGATAGCCCTGTTATATATGAAACGTAAGTAAAAACATATATACATAAACTTAAAAGAGGAGGGGAAAAAGTGGGGGTTTAACACAATTTAGTTGTTAAACTGCAAATTTAGTGTGGTATGTTTCTCATTTCACCGGCCACAACTGAGTAAAACCAGACTCTGGGTTATTTTCCAAACACAGTGAGCCGGTTCAGTCAAGTAAAGACCCAAAAAAAGGAAAAGTCTGTCTGGTATTACATTTTTTTTAATACTGCACTGATGTGTGGTTTTGCTGAAATTTGTGTTACTGAATGATCTCCTTGCTAAAAGGTCCGTACCTGGCTCGTGGCCCGCTCCGGTGGCCAGGGCAGGCATGTTTCCTGCCGACAGCTTCCTGGTTCCCCTCAGGGTGTGGAAAATGGCAGCAGCGTGTCAGGGTGTCAGAGCTGCTCCACAGAAAGCCCAGAGAGCAGCTGGATCTGAAGACGGCCTTTATGCCATGGAGCCCTGCGAGGAAACAAGAGTCTGCTTGTCACATAAGCGAGTCAAAAATTGACCGTGTGCATCAGGAAGTTCAAAGCTGACTCTGGCTGTTTACATTCCTACATGTTTAAGACGTTATTCAATGTCCTGCAGAAACATGGAGAACTGCTTCCACTGATGAGAAGGAAGGAAATGCAACAAACTTAGAAAAGTTCCTACAGAAATGGAAACAAAACAGTTACACTTGATTATTGTGGCTAAATTGGAAAGTTTCTGATTGGAGATGGATGGAGGAGACTGATCATAGTTTGATTCACTGGGTTGCCTAAAATAGCAACATACAAGAAAATAACCAAGTTATTCCATCCAGCTACAGTCATGCAACCAGCAGGAAGACTATGTGGCAAAGAGGAATGGAAAAATGGACATCAGGTTCTTTGCACCATGCAACTTAATGGTCCATTATATGTCTAATCCCAAATTCAGGGGGCCATCTGAGCTGGAAGGCCTTGGGGTCCTTTGAAAATTTCACAACATAAGAAACGTAGTGCAGCTGACCCAAAAACCACTTGAATAAAAAGGAACATCCCGAAGAACTGCATAATTTCAAGTCCTTCGGATCAATTTCTGTATCATATTTGAGGTCCTAGGGTTCTGTTTTATAAGAAGCACCTGGTTAATCCAGTCCAGAGGATGTGATGGAGTCAGTGGGTTGTTCTGGACTGAGATGTGCAAAGTATGGAGGAATCATCAAACATCACACTAGTGCTGATCCGTTTTCTAACAGAAGGGAGATCTGAGATCTACATCTGGCTACAACTGCATGCTAGCACCAGTTTTTAGGCCTAAAATTTCAGAATTAAACACTGTTTAGCATTTTCTATTGCTAGGATAATTATCACTGATGAGGTCCGAGTTTATTACACCTTAATATTAGCTGCCTGTTGGATGTCAGAATTGATGTTTTCTCCAATACTTGATCTAATTAGGACAGTTTCTCTGTCTGGATATACAGTTATAATCTTCATTCTGTACGTGGCAAAGATTTGGGAATAGAACGAGAGTGGTGTCCTGCAGCTAAAAACAAAGTGTTATATTTTGACAAGGCTGGAGCCATGGATGTCTCCTTATCTGCTTAGGTGTATGACGTAAAATGTGATGATGTGGCAGACTGGAGATAAAATAGATAAAAATAGAGATAAAATAGAGATAAAATGCCTCTTTAACTTTTCATCGGGGCCACTTCCTGAAAGGTAAGCCCAGGGGTAAGCAGCTGCCTTCTGTAATTCTGAGCAACTTCTCTGATCTGAGTAAGATTATAATTTCTATCAAAATCTGTTGTCATGTCTCATGGTTATTTAATACATATATATATATTATGGAGTGTTATTTAAAGAGTTTGTCCCGAGTGATGTCTTTTCAGGAAAAAGAAGAAGAAGAAGAGAGGTGTAGACACAGAGAGCCTATCTTTAACGCTATATTGGTAAATAGGTTAAGAGAGCCAAGAGGAGAAAGCTAGCCTCGTGAGAACATCCTGATCTTGCGAGCTTTGAAGGTTTTACTCGCAGATCAGTCTGGAGACTCTCCGTTAAAGAAAATTTGGAGCAGTTCACCAAACGAACGTCCAATCAGCGTTGGCTTTGAGGCGGGTTGAGGTGTGACGCAACGAGAAGCGCGACAGTTCAGTCTAAAGAACATGGCGGGTTCAGCCGATGAAACTAGCGTTAGCGTGGCTATCGTGCAAGTGTTATCGGAATTACAGAGTATTTCTTCACTGAAAGAAGAGCAAAACACTGCTCTGGAGGCTTTTCTCAGAGGAAAAGATGTTTTTGTTCTTCTCCCGACTGGTTTCGGCAAGAGTTTGATCTATCAATTGGCTCCTCTTTGTCGTCGCTCTGTTAGTACGTCATATGCTTCGTTGATCTGATTGGTTTATTTGGCCCGTCTATGACCAACAAAGGCCAATCAGCTAACCAGTATTTTCGCCCCTTCCAAAAATTACTTGAACGGAAGGTTTCCAGATGGATATGCGGAGCAAATCCAGCAAATCCATCTGGCGGAGTCAGATTAGGAAAAAGCAGCCTCACTGCAAAAAATTTAAAGCTTAATAAGTAATTTTTTCTTAAAATAAGTGCATTTTTTCCTGGATTGAGGAGGTAAGTGAGACATTTTGCCAGTGGAACAAGACAATTTACATTTTAATTAAGAAAAAACAATTGCAATGTCTTATTTCAAGTGCATTTTATCTAATTAGTAGGGATGCACGATATTGGTATTTTTGCCGATATCCGATACGCCGATATTTTAAAACTCATGTAGCCGATAACCGATATCGATACCGATGTTAAAGCTGGACAAAAATAAGTAGTCATTGAAAATAGCAGTTTTGTTATCCATTTCTGACACTTTGAAAAATAATATACTCAAATATATTTTCATATACTGATATCAAATTGATTTTTAAAAACGGGGTATTGATCTATTTTACTTTCAAAATCTCGTGAAATTTCATTGTTCTGTTACAAACTCTCGTGATATTTTGCAAATTCTTGTGAGATTTTGTTAGTAAAATAGATCGATACCGCGTCAATATATCGACATATAAAAATATGGCAAAATTTCGTGAATTTTCGGGGGATTTCGTAGCATAACAATGACATATAGCAATATTTCATTAGTAAAAGAGATTGATATAGTGTTTTTAAATGGCAATATATCAGCATATGAAGATATTGGGATATTTTAATGTATCAATATTTTTTCCCTCGTCTTTAGAAGTTTTTAAGTCTGTAAAAAATAAGTTTTTGAGGAAGAAGAAGAAGAAGTAGTTTTTTGTTTTTTTTTTAGACTTTAGAAACTCAGAAGCTGATCAAATATCGGGTTAAATATCGGTAGGGGGCCGATTATATTGTGCATCCCTACTAATTATCTTATTTTAAGAGTAAAAATACTTATTCCATTGGCAAATCTTCTTACTTACCTACTTAAATTAAGGGTAAATACACTTAATTTAAGTAATCTTTACTTTTCTAGATTGTTTTGCTGTGCTCGAGGCACGACTACAAGATCTCTGTAGCAAGGGAATCAAAAACAGGGACCTGCAAGGAGTTCTCACCCATGTTAAATCAGTTCAGTGTTTCAGAAAGATGGATCTATCATAAACTTGGTGATTGGAAGGACAGACTTGGAGAAAGACAGAGGACATGAAGAGTCCAGCAGTTTAACAGTCCTCTAATGTGAGTGGGACACCTTTGGTTTGACCACATCATCTTCAGTCTAAGGAAGGATCTGTATGTTCTGTTGGAGCTTTCTGCAGGTTCAGGAACACCTGGGACTTTTAACAAGACCCAAAAGGCTCCTGATTGACAGGCTTAAAGAAACCTTCTCCACTCTCATCACGCTCCAATGGTGTCTGTTCAGATCTCAGATGGTCAGCAGGGAAGGAAAGTTCAACTCTGCCATGAGGTAGAAAGATGAAATATGTAGGATAAACTCAGATATAGAATCCTCCTAAACCGTAAAGTCTTCTGCTGCCATCTAGTGGATTTTTTATTTATTTAATCTGCATGAAGTTTGGAGGCTTCTGGTCTGAATTAAGACTAAATATTCCCTGCAGACTCCCGTCTGTTCCTGCTTAACCTTGTTCAATGTGTGAAACACAAAGTCTGATCAGTATTTGAAAAGAAAATAGCTCCAGGTGGTCGATGGACAGATGGAACGTGGGGAACAGAGGTGGAGGAGCTGTTTTTCTTCTTCACTTTTCCAAAACAAGCCTGTCCTTCCAGGCGAGGAGCAGCATGGGTGGAGGTGTTCATCTCTCAGCTGGATGATGTTAAAGTTACTCTGAGAATAACAGAGTCAGGAGGTGAAGGACTGACAGTTAAATGACCTCCAAGACCTACCTGAAAGAGCCAATCAGTTCAGTTATGATCGACCATTGAACATCAGGTTTATTATTCAGTCTTTTCCTGTTTCTCTCATCCTGATCATGGATGGTCAAACAGCCAAACCCCCATTAGGACCTCATCAGGAGTAGAAAAACACTTGCTCTGCATACATCGCTATCTAACTGAGTGGAATAGGTCCACACTTATGGTACATCCATCTAGACTTGGGCCATAAGAGAACCAGCAGCACACAGGAGAGGTCAACACAGCTATTCAGCACCATTTAAAGGTCCCACAAAGGCCAATTAGATATAATGATCCATATTTGCCCTCCATTAACAGCACAGATCTTTTTCACATGCGTGAATCTTGTCCAAGATCAGAACTGTGTCCCCTGCTCTAGTTAGAGCTCCAAATCTAAAGGACAGCAGTGCAGCACATCCGTCCGTGTCTGCGTATCAGCTTCAGCCTCATTATTTTTACGCTTAGAGATCCTGAATCGATATGACAGAAATTATAGAAGACTACTCCTCACTTTTAGTGTTTCCTGACCTTTAAGACCTACAGTTGATTTGTGTTTTACGCAGAGGATCCTTTCCCTTCAAATGTGAATCTTATATCTATGGATGAACAATCTAAAAAGGGTGATTATTTCTCCAGAGGCATCTTTTCTTTTCCTCTCATTAACCAGCTGGAAGCTGAACAGCTATTTTAAGCTTTCCATCGACCGAGTGCATTCCTCAACAAATATTTTTCCTTAACAGACATTGAAAGTATTATATGTAGCAGAATAGATGTTATAGTAGTTACTTTTCTGACTGAACTTCAGGAACCAAATCAAAACAAATCGAAGTGTAAGTAACTTTCCGTTTTTCTTAATGTGCTGCACCTTCCAGAGCAGAGGGCCAAGAAACTGGTTCTGCAGTTTCTTCTTTTTAAACATGTTTTACATTTTTCTGGAACTATTTAAAAAATTTGAAATCAATGCCAACTGATGATACTCCTTGAATGTTATTTTCAGGTCTTTAAATCAGCCATGAGCAGCCAAGTCTAGTGATGGCGGAGAGCTTAAAGGAATAGTACACCCAAAACATGATTAGCCTTCATTTTCTACTCACCCCCATGCTGAACAACACT